TATATATATATATCAATTTCAAAAGTTTGGGGTCAGTATGATTTTTTCATATTAACAATAAATAAATAAATAAAAAATAATATTTTTATTCTGCTAGTATTACAGTTCCACCAAAATTATTAAGCCGCACAAGTGTTTTGAACATTGATAAGAAATGTAATAAGAAATGTTTCTTGAGTACCAAATATTAGAATGATTTCTGAAGGATCATGTGACGCTGAAGACTGGAGTAATGATTGCAGAAAATAAAGCTTCGCCATTACAGGAATAAATGACATTTTAAAATACATTTATTTAGAAAACAGCTATTTTAAATTGTAATTATATTTCTCAATATTACAGTTTTTAATCATAGTTTTGATCAAACAAATGCATTCTTGGTGAGCGTAAGATAATTTTTTAAAAAACATAAAAAAAATCTTACAGACCCAAACTTTTGAACAGTACTATATAGCTCGATTATTAAAAAAATTATCTATGGAGGACTAATAAAATAAAATATCAATTTATTAAACAATAAAAATGTAAACTTATAAATGACTTATCAAAATGGAAAATAGACATTTAAAAATTCTGATTTAAAAAGTAAAATAACGCATTAATACATGATTTGAAATTGACAAATAGACATAAGTTAAAAGTACTATTTAGTATAGTTTTTAATCCAATTACTAATATTATTATAAATAATTATTATAATTATACATAGTAAATTTTACTATATACAATATAGTAAATAATTTATTTACTAACATTTCAATAAAATAATACTTTAAGAACATATTACTAAACACAACTTTTAAAGTCATTGGTCAGTTGCAGTTCCTAATCCATTTGCCAACTGCTTTTTTTAATATTCATTTTTATCCAACTGGAAAATGCTAAAGAATCTCAAACGGAATTTTACACACCACACCAGCCTTAAGGGTTCCTCTGAAATGAAAAGCTTTAAGCCATTTCAGAGAAAATATCAAGACAACAAGTCAAAAGACTGGAAATATGGAGATCACCCCACCCTACCTGCTATTTTAACTATTTTGTTGATTTTTTTATATAGAGGAAGTAGAAACCCCTTGAGTCCATCCATGTGTGTATCACTGAGGTGAGCTGTTCTCAGAAAGTGAGAGGTTGTAGAAGAGGAACACACTCTGGTTGGCTGAGAGTTCCTGATTGGGGTTAATCACATGCTATGCCCACACTAGAACCATGAGGGCCAGAGGAAAAGCAGCGCCCGACAGAACATATCCAAAAATCATGCCTCCAGTTTAGATGCTACCTCAAACCATCATGCAAGTAGTAAAAGGCATGTTCCTTTAATGTCACCACTCCAAAA